GGGCTTTGTCACCTTTGCTCTGAGCTCATCTAGCCACAGGATTCCACCTTGCATCTTCCAATATGCCTCACACTGTCTTTACTTCTTTGTCTCTACTTATGTCCTTTCTTCTTCCTGGGACTATTCCCCACTCCCTTCCACCCCACACCCGCCTTGCCACTCCCCACCAGGCCAATGCCAACTTCTCCATCAAGATCCAGGTCTCTCATTCATTTCCCGCAGGAAATAGTTTATAACTCAGCAGGCTGTCAGACCCACAGTTCTCCCATGGCTCTGAGCGGGGTATACCCAATTCTGGTTGAAGTTTTCTGATCCTTGTGTTCAGGATGCACCAGAACCAAGCAAAGCAAGTCAGACGCCGTCCAAAGATTTGAAAATGTAAGTGAGGAATCAGAGACAGAAGGTGCTCAGAGCTGCACCATCACCCACAGGGCCCTGGTTGTCTACTAAGGCTGGGGCACTCTTGTTGAGCAGCCCTGGGGCTGTTTGGATCCTTTCACTTTTTCTTCCAGTCTATCAATTCACCCAACAGCTGTCCAGAAAAACATCCCCTGGGATTCAGTTTAGCCAGAGTCAGTTTTTGTTGCTAAAGACTAGAAGAATCTTAGTAGACAAGTGCCTCTAGCTCTGGTCATACCTGTGCACACCTGTCATACATCTGCAGAGCTAGTTATTTGCTCACTAAACCAGTTTCCCTTTATACAGAGTATTGTCCCCATCTTACAGATGAAGGAAGCTTAGCTTTAAGATGTTAAATGCCTTGCTCAAGTTTACACACTTAGTAACTGATACCACTGGGACAGATAAGTACTTGAAATAATGGGAAATGAATGGTTTTATGGAAATGCAGTTGTTATTCCATTGCTCGATTGTGTCTGAATCTTTGAGACCCATGGACTGCAGTACACCAGGCCTCCCTGTCCATCACCATCTCCCGAAGTTTGCCCAAGTTCATGGCCATTGCATTGGTGACGCCATCCAGCCAGCATTCTCTGATGCCCTCTTCTCCTTCTGTCCCCAATCTTTCCCAGCATCAGGGACTTTTCCAGTGAGTCGGCTGTTCACATCAGATGACCAAAATAATGGAAATGCAGACCTAGGTTCAAATCACAGCTCTGCCATCAGTCAGTCAGTCAGTCAGTCAAGTTACTGACTCCTTCACTTTTAGCCAGGAGAGTATTAACTGAACGTTTGATAGGTGCCAGTAAGGTTATCTGTATATATGATGTCATTTAATCTTTAAAACAACTCTGTTGGGTAGGCCTTATCTCCCCTCAGTTTACAGCTGAGGAAACTGAGAATCACAGTAGTCAAGTGACTTGCCCAAGATCACAAGAAGAAACATTCTGAAAGAATTTACCTCTAACTGTGAAGAGAGCACGGGAACCGACAGAGTACAGGGAAGAAAATTTCACGTTTTTTCCAGAACTTTTCTCTCAAGTTTGAATTTTTACAACATGTGAATTGCTCCCCAGGTGGCACTAGCAGTAAAGAACCTGACTGCCAATGCAGGAGACTTGAGAAATGTGGGTTTGATTCCTGGGTCGGGAAGATCCCCTGGAGGAAGGCTTGGCAACCCATTCCAGGATTCTTGCCTGGAGAATCCCATGGACAGAGGAGCCTGGTGGGCTACAGTCCATGAGGTTGTAAAGAGTCAGACACGACTGAAGTGACTTCGTGCACACACATAGATAAAATGATAAAAATGTCTGAATAATATTATTATAACTGTCTGAAGGCTTTAAGGTGGTAGGTGAAGTCTGGGGAGGAAATACCCTGCCAAAACCACAGTCAAGAGTGTTGGAGGAGAGTGTGGCAGCCAACCTCCAAAACCTCCTCCCCAAATCTTCACCTCCTGATATCCAAGGCCACAGGTAGATTCATTTGGCATGAGTCAGGGCTAACTTGAGTGATTAGCAGAATGTAGCAGAAGTGTGTGCTTTCTGAGGCTAAGGTCACAAAGGGCATTCATTCTGGATTCATTCTGGATCACTTCTTACGAAGGAAGCCAGTCGCCATATTGTGGGAATGCTTCAACAGTCCAGTGGAGGCCTTCGGGGAGAGGAACTGAAGCCTCCCGCCAACAGCCAGCTCCAACTTGCCAGCTATGTGGGTGACTGACCTTGGAAATGGATCCTCCAATGCCAGTTACATTGTCACCCTGCTTATTTAACTTCTATGCAGAGTACATCATGACAAACGCTGGGCTGGAAGAAGCACAGGCTGGAATCAAGATTGCCAGGAGAAATATCAATAACCTCAGATATGCAGATGACACAACCCTGATGGCAGAAAGTGAAGAGGAACTAAAAAGCCTCTTGATGAAAGTGAAAGAGGAGAGTGAAAAAGTTGGCTTAAAGCTCAACATTCAGAAAACTAAGATCATGGCGTCTGGTCCCATCATTTCATGGCAAATAGATGGGGAAACAGTGGAAACAGTGTCAGACTTTATTTTGGGGGGCTCCCAAAATCACTGCAAATGGTGATAGCAGCCATGAAGTTAAAAGACACTTACTCCTTGGAAGGAAAGTTATGACCAACCTAGATAGCATATTAAAAAGCAGAGACATTACTTTGCCAACAAAGGTCCATCTAGTCAAGGCTATGGTTTTTCCAGTGGTCATGTATGGATGTGAGAGTTGGACTGTGAAGAAAGCTGAGCACTGAAAAATTGATGCTTTTGACCTGTGGTGTTGGAGAAGACTCTTGAGAGTCCCTTGGACTGCAAGGAGCTCCAACCAGTCCATCCTAAAGATCAGTCCTGGGTGTTCATTGGAAGGATTGATGCTGAAACTGAAACTCCAGTACTTTGGCCACCTCATGTGAAAAGTTGACTCATTGGAAAAGACCCTGATGCTGGGAGGGATTGGGGGCAGGAGGAGAAGAGAACGACAGAGGATGAGATGGCTGGATGGCATCACTGACTCGATAGACATGAGTTTGAGTAAACTCCGGGAGTTGGAGATGGACAGGGAGGCCTGGTGTGCTGCGATTCATGGAGTCGCAAAGAGTCAGACACAACTGAGCAACTGAACTGAACTAAACCTCATGAAATTCCTGAGTTAGAGCCACCCAGCTGAATCCTTCTTGAATTCCTGACCCACAGAAACCATCAGGAATAATAAACATTTATCGTTTGTTTAAGCCACCAGGTTTCGCGATGATTTGCAAAGCAGCAACAGATGACTGATTATGAGGGTGAGTGGAGTAGGGTGGAGATCATGGTTGATTGCTTCACTCTTTTTCAAACTTGCCATACAGTCATATTCCTAAGGAGAGAGTAAGGGACAAGGTAGGTGATGAAATAGTTAATCCCACTAGGGGATTGTAATTAAAAAAAAAACAAGGGAGGCCCCTCTAAGTTAATGATTACACAAGAAAGCAAGTTTGCTTAACCACAAAACCAAGCAGGCTTGCTTAGCAACAAAACGATGTAGCAGAAACAAGAAATATACTCCGAAACACTAAAACAATGGTAGCGTGAGACTCACGTCCTGCCCAGTGAACTCAGTAAGTTAATGATCCCTAGGACATACTCTCTGTACACATAAAAAATGATAATTTATAGGAAAGTACTCACTGTACAGAGACCTGAAATAATTTCTACAGTCCTGACTTGACCATGTAGAAACAACAACAAACTCTCCTGTTCAACCTGGAGGAGAAGCTGATGTTGGAAGCATGACGTCTACTCAAGAAAGACAAAGATGGTCTTCTCCCCCTTCCTACTCTTCTTTTGACTATAAACTGTAGCCCTCTAAGTTCTCAGGGCAGCATCCTCTCCCCTGCCTACTCGTAAACCTCAAAATCATCCTGTTCTAACAAATCACTTCTTATCTATCACTTTGCCTCTCACTGAATTCTTTGTGTTCTGAGACATAAAGGACCAGAGCTCTTCAGAGCCCCCCAGAATGCCACCTACAGTTTGCTATAACTGAAGTTTGCTATAACTTCAAAAAACAGTGGCAAAAATCATTTAAAAGAAGAGAGAGAAACAGGTTATTTCTATACCTTTATATTTGTTCCAATACTCCATGGAAATACCCCTTGAAAACATTATAACGTCTTAGTATTTACTTTTTTTTAGTAATAAAAATAATGCAATGTATCAGGAAAGGCATTTGAATTTGTGTTGTACTTGTTTCTGCTGCTAAGTCACTTCAGTCATGTCCAACTCTTTCTGACGCTATGGACTGCAGCCTGCCAGGCTCCTCTGTCCATGTGATTCTCCAGGCTAGAACACTGGGATGGGCTGACATTGCCTTCTCCAATTTGTCTCTAATCTTTCAAAATATATTTAATATTGGATCTGAGCTCCGAGGGGTGCTGTGTCATACCAGGGACTCGATCTTCTGCCTGACTCCTGGGGAACCAAACCACATCCCATTTCTGCAAAGTGGAGTTGCCAGGAATGCCAGTGATGGGTGGAGGTCTCTATCTGTTGCCCGAGTCTGGCTGTATCATTTACTCATCAACTGTGTGTTGAGACTGTACTGTCTCTGAGGCCCATTGCTGGGGAGACATTTGCCAGGGGAAGATACAAGTCACACACCGGGGAAGCGCTTTAATCATATAAGGCAGGAAAGAGTTAATGCCAAATGAGTCCTGAAGTTCCTGGAACCCAGCAGGCAGGGGCTGCTCCAGGGACAACTGGGGGGCAGAAATATCACCTTAACCCTACAAAGACATGGCATTTCCACGTGGGACAAGGATGAACAGAGAGGTTTTTAAGGGGCAGATTCAGGGACTGGAAAGGAAGACCGTGCCTTCTTTGATCCCTGGGCACTGTTTCTCTTTTCTCCACATTCACAAAGCCACCGGGCTGCTGCTGACCGGTTTTCTCCGGCAGTCCCAGCCTTGCAGTCAGGGCAGCTCTCTCTCATGGGTCTGCAGAGTGGCCCTCATCCTCAGCCAGTCTTGCCCCCATCAGCGCCTGGAGAAACGGGAGGAAACTGGACACTGGCTGGGGCGCTGCCAGCAAGTGCCAGGCTGCTGGCAGCTTAGATGGTTTCCTTGAGGGGCGAGGCTCCCAGCTGCTGAAGAGAAACTTCTTCACCCTTCTCTTCTGCATCCTTCCTGGACAGGCGTTCCTTGACTCTGTTGAAATGAAAGACAAAGGACATAAAAAGGAGGTGATAAGGGCCAGGCGTTGTGAGCGTTGTGGTCAAGGGTATATTTGTTCCACGCACAGGAGGTGTTATCTCCGCTGTCCCAAAGTCCCCAAAGAAGGTGACCTGTCCTCTCGTCCCTGTGAGGAACCTCAGCGGGTGCCCTCCCACCGCCCGTCCACTCCCTCGCTCTCTCCTGAGATCCACAGCTGCCAGGGGCTGGCCTGGCTGGTATCAGCCAGACTTGGAAAGGATGCAAAGTCAGAACCTTGGGATGAGGCCCTGAGGCCAGACGCATACCCCAGGTCACAGAGCTGGTGAACAGGGCACCAGGCTCAGCCCACTTTCTGCTGCTGGGCGGCCGGGCTTGCCTGTGGACCAGGGGCGCCAGTGAGACTCCGGAACTGGGCCCTGGTCCAGGTAGAGATCAGTTGCTCAGGAGACAGGGAGGGAGGAATCAGGGGAGGATGAGGGGAGGGAGGTCACTGCAATAGCCTCCCAGTAGCCCGAGGGCTGCCCCCAGGGCTGCCTGTCCCTGACCACATCCAGCTCTGCTGTTTCCTATTTGACCCTCCAGTCTTTGATATGATTGTGTTCTGACCTCCTTGTGTTTATTTCATCCTCCTCTTGCACAGACTAAGAACTGTTTGTTTTTCTACTTAATTTTTCTTATCTTCTGGTCTTAATCACTCACATAGCTTGCCAGATTCTCCTGTCCAGTTTTAGCTGGTTCCATTTTTAGAACTTATTCCACGTTCAAAACATTTCATCAGTGTTTTTTTTTTATTTTTAATCCTTACCTATTCTATTTCTGATCTTTTAGTTCAATGGTTTAAGCCTTTGTGTGTGTGTGATCATGCCCTAACATAATCACAAAGGAACATTTTTCTTCTCATTTTACTGTTCTGCATCTCTCTTTTCTGCCATTTAAGCCTCATTTTTCCGACTTCTGTCCCTTAGGGTCATTGAGGGACAGAAGCTTGTTGGTTTTGTCTGCTAAGTGCCTGTGGTGGGGACTGAGCGGTGGTTCTCTCCAGTTGTGTCTAATAGCATCCTCTTCCCTTTCAAAGATGATTCCTAAAAACCCAGAGGCAGACATTCTCCACATTCAACTGCTGCAATGGGTAGGCTTGCTCAGTGTTATTTTTTAAACTCATAAAATGAGCAAAGACGACCAGAGGCAGCCTCTTCATGTAATCCATAGTCTTTTTTTTTTTTTGGCTGTGCCTCGCAGCTTGCAGAATCTTAGTTCCCTGACCGGGGATTGAACCCAGAGCACAGCAGTGAAAGCGTGGAGTACTAACCACTGGACCACCTGGGAATTATGAATGGTCTTCTTTTTTTAAGTATCTGAAATATAGTATAAAATATATATATAAGTATCTGAAATATATATACACACACACACACAGCGATTAGGACTCCATGCTCTCAAGATAAGCATTAAAAACATGCTTGGGTCAGCCATTCAGCTGGTGCTCACCATGGGTGGGAGGGCAGCAGGAGGTCCTAGTTGACCAAGAGCCTGGGCCTTGGCCTTGGTGGAAACCAGACCTCTGCTGAAAGGCTGAACCTTTCTCTCCACCCCTCACCTCTCCATGCCCCTCACCAGTGGGAAGAGCTCCATGGAAGGTCACTGGTTGGACCTTTGGCACTTTCTCAGGCCAGGCTACCTCTCTTCCAGTTTTCCTGACAGCTCACAAGCTTAGGGGAGCTTCAGCTTACTTCTAGGCCCCAAGAGGGACTGCCCTGTGTCTGGGAAATGGCCTAATTGAATTCTTACAATTTTTTTCATTGTGTGACTCATCTTTTTGATTACCAAAGAAAACCTACTCAATGCAGATAATTTGGGGAAAAAAATGCTAAATATAAAGCAGCCAGGAAAAAAAATAAAATATCACTTATACTTTGAGACAACCACTGTCACCATTTTAATATACTTTTTTTCTCTTTCGAGTCTCTATCTCTTGACATAACTAGGAAAATATCCTAATTATAACACACTGTTTAAGAGCATATTGTAAACATTCCCCATGCCATTAAAAACTCCTCATCAACATAACATTTAACTAATGCACAGTGTATCATAGTTTATTTAAATTGCTGGATATTTGGAGAGTTGACATTTTTTTCTGATACATTAAACATGATGATGAATATCCTTGTAAATAAATTTTGTCCACATTTCAGCTAATTTTTTTAGGGCAGAGTCTTGGAAATGTCATTGCTGCCTAGAAGCTTGTGAAAAATTTTCCAACTCATGGTAGTAATGCCAAAGAACCTTCCAGAAAGGTTGCAGGAGTTTCCTCCTTGCTACCTGTACATCTTCTGCATTGAAAATGTTTCCTTAGTGGATATTTAAAACAGGGCATCATATGGTTTTAATTGCATTTCTCTGATTATGACTGAGGTGGATATTTTTTCTCTTTTTACTTCCTACTGGCATTTCCTTCTTTGTGAATGTTCTATTCTTATATAAAAGGGCCTTTTTTTTTTTTTTTTTAAACAGGATTAGTCAACTGCTCCTTTGCTATGTTGCTCCAACAAACTAGGGCACAGACCCAACTGGGGCTGAGCCCTGGACCACACCAGGCATTCAGATACTCTCAGAAACAGTATCTGGTCTCGTGATGAATGAAGGATCTTGAGGATGAACAACTTGAACCTTAGAAACAGGCATTTTCTTTTCATCTTAATCTTTAACATCCTAGGCCTGTGACAGACATTCATAAGTATCTGATGAGCTTAGAAACAGAAAAATGAGAGGGGCTGAGAAGTTCTGAATTCTTATTGTCTAAATGTCTGAAACTCCACTTGACTGTCTCATCCAGAAAGGCTGTCTCTTGCCTCCCCTTCCCCAACAAAGCAGAACAAGGCCAGATGTTGCCATCTCATGTTGGTTGGACAAGAACATTCAAGAACTTGTCCAGAACTTGTTGGACTGGTCACTGAAGAAGACCAGGTACTAGCTTCTATAATTTATAATATGCTGGTCAAGTCTAAATCTCCTCTTGGAGGCAGCCTCTTACCAGCCTGTCTACACTGTTGATTGAAAATTATAGATTTGTGGTCTGCATCTGGCTTACCAGATTACACAGGCTGGTTTGGGCTATGACCAATGGAATGGAAAAGACCCTTCATTAAGTTTGTGTTTGGCTTCCCTGAGATCAAGACCCACATCCTGATGGCTTGTGATGTGGGAATGAATGGCATCCAGGGGGCTCTGAGGACCCTGGCAGGTGCTCTGGCCCTTTCAGATATTAACCTATATTTTCTTCCTCCTGCCACATTGTATCCTTTATATTCTGACTACCTTAAATAAGCTTGCTTTGTGGAGTCTTATTAGTGCTTCCAATTATAAAATCTTGTGTAATTGCTGGAGTAGTGGAAGTCAGAGCAAAGGACCTACTCCAGCCTGAAAGAGATGCGACAACTAAATACCACTTGTGATTCTGAACCCGACCCTCCTGCTCAATAGGTTGTGGTTGGGGTAGACTTGAATGAGGTCTGAGGGTGAAATGGTAGTCACATAGCAACATTAACTTTCTGACTGTGGTGGCTGTATTGTGCTCATGCAGGAGAATACCCTTGGAAAAGTTACACATGAATGTATTTGAAAGAGGTTTCAACAACATTCTTTGTATGTGTCAGAAAAAAAAGTTCTTTGTCCAACACTAGCACTTCTGTTTGAGATTGTTCTAAATCACACAAGCATGTGTGTACACACACACACATATATATACAACTATAAACAACAATCAAGATTGCTGGGAGAAATATCAATAACCTCAGATATGCAGATGACCCTACCCTGATAGCAGAAAGTGAAGAAGAACTAAAGAGCCTCTTGATGAAAGTGAAAGAGGAGAGTGAAAAAGTTGGCTTAAAGCTCAACATTCAGAAAACTAGGATCATGGCATCCGGTCCCATCACTTCATGGCAAATAGATGGGGAAACAGTGGAAACAGTGGCTGACTTTATTTTTCTGGGTTCCAAAATCACAGCAGATGGTGATTGCAGCCATGAAATTAAAAGACTCTTACTCTTTGGAAGGAAAGTTATGACCAACCTAGACAGCATATTAGAAAGCAGAGACATTACTTTGTCAACAAAGTTCTGTCTAGTCAAGGCTACGGTTTTTCCAATGGTCATGTATGGATGTGAGAGTTGGACTATAAAGAAAGCTGAGCACCGAAGAATTGATGCTTTGGACTGTGGTGTTAGAGAAGACTCTTGAGAGTCCCTTGGACTGTAAGGAGATCCAACCAGTCTATCCTAAAGGAGATCAGTCCTGGGTGTTCATTGGAAGGACTGATGTTGAAGCTGAAACTCCAGTACTTTGGCCACCTGATGTGAAGAGCTGACTCATTGGAAAAGACCCTGATGCTGGGAAAGATTGAGGGCAGGAGGAGAAGGGGACGACAGAGGATGAGATGGTTGGATGGCATCACCGACTCAATGGACATGGCTTTGGGTGGACTCTGGGAGTTGGTGATGGACAGGGAGGCCTGGCGTGCTGTGGTTCATGGGGTCTCAAAGAGTCAAATACGACTGAGTGACTGAACTGAACTGATATACAACTTTAAAAATAAACAACAAAAGCAATACAAAATATGGAGCTACTTTGTCATGCTTAAGAGAACTTCTCGTACTATGGCCATCACAAGCTCTTCCTCACCTCTTGGAGGAGGGGACTTCTGACAGCACCAGCTAGATCAGACCCAAACAGCACATCGTTGTGAGAAAGAATCGCTTGTTGTCAGTTGCTATAAAAATCAAAATTATTTGGGGCAAATGGTGCTCCAAATTCAGTTGGTTCATAGCCAGTAACAACATACTGTAGTTTCCTAATTAATTGTTCCTGGCAAGGTCAAAGGAAAGCATATTACCTAAAACCAGAATTTCCTTTAGCATTACTCAGATTTTTCTATAGCCAGGGCAAGCAACATCTGATTTTAAAAATGCCCAGGCCAGACCATTGCAGTGGTTCTCTCTCTCGTATTAGGGAAGGACACTACTCTCCAGTTTCTCTTCCAAGTACCTGGGGCTCTTAGGCAACATCTCAGAGCACGTGCGAACAGACTCCGGACTGGGTCATTAGCAAATACTTACCAGCCCCTGGGATACCTGGACCTACATCTGTTCTGTGGGATGAGTAGGGGCTAAGAGCAGAAGGAAGAGCATTCCACCTAGGGACCCCTGGGTGGTGGGCGGGGGTCAACCATGGGAGTGTGGGCTGGAACCAGGTCCTGAGAGTTTTGTAAGGTTTCAATTTTTATCCTCAATGAAAAAAGAGCCAAGGAAGGGTTATGAGGAGAGAAATGCTGTGATTCTACTTACAGGATAAGTCCTTCACACCAGCGCCTGTGTAGAGAGGAAAGAGGAGAGGGGCAGGGGAAGATCTGAAGTTTTTGTGATTGTCCAGATGAAAGATGATGGTGGCCAGGAAAGGGGAGAGAGATGGACAGATTCAAAATATATTTTGGAGATAGAATGGACAGGACTTGCCACGGTCTACATCCTTGATTTATGTGAGTCCAGACTTTGTCCACAGCTCAGGGTAGAGATGGGATGTTTCTGATTTTGGTGATGGATCCCGCGAGGCTTGTAGGATCTTAGTTCCCCAACCAGGGATTGAACCTGTGCTCCCTGCAGTGGAAGTACAGAGTTCTAACCACTGGACCTCCTGAAAATTCCATGGGGGATTTTAAAGGGATGCAAACACAATCCACACACACAGGCCTCTGGGCCCAGATGGTTCAGCTGTGGCGTCAAGCTGGACCCAGAGAGGTCTCCTGGCACCCTAAAACTAAGGCTCATCACGGAGCCCTTGTTGGTGAGAAATGCCTCAAGAAGCCACAGGAGTCCCCTCCGGCTCTTGTTTTAGAAACATTTTCAAGGACACCCCTGCCAGCTCACACAGTGACCTCTCTGAGAAGATGTGTTAGAGACACGTCTTCCAGTGCTAGCTGCTGAGAAAATCTTCCTTTTCTCTAAGGAACTGGTATTCCTCGTCCTCTCTGAAAAGAGTCATCAATGAGGGTTTCCGTTTCTGCTGCCAGAAAGCTTAGAGACAAAAGGGACAGCCGCCGGACAACCACGTAGTCTCTGCTTCAAACTGGGGCACCTCTTCCTCCGGCTAAACATCACCCCACTGCCCTGCCACATTTCGCTTCAACTCGTCCTATTTTTCCTGATCTATAGATTTTTCTTATTTCCGTTTGACCGTTCGCTGTGGAACGATGGAGGCGGGCAGGACGCTGGTCTCTAGGGCTCTGTTGTCTCCACCAGAACACGTGTTAGCGGCACGTGGAGGACTCCGCCGCCCACCCCGACTGTGCCCAGAGGCCCCTCACCTCCTCTCCATCGCCTCGATGGTCTCCACCAGGGGCACGTCGCGGGTCTCAGCCAGGAAGCAGACGGCCAGCCCGGCCAGGATCGAGGGGGCCCCGAAGCCCACGGGCGGCAGGACGGCGCTGAACTCCCCGAGCATGGTGAGTAGCGGCGCCGCCAGGCCCCCGAGCCGGGCGTTGACAGAGGCGAAGCCCATCCCCATCTGCCTGTCGGAGCAGTGGGGCCGGGTTAGCGGCTGTGGCCTGGACCCCTGGAGGGCCGGGCGCGCCGGTCCAGGGTGTTGGGGGCAGAGCAGGACGGAGATCGGGTCCTGCTTCAGCAAATCCAGCAGGCATCAGCCTGGAGTGAGAACCTCCCAGTTCGGGGCCAGCACCCTTGCATACCCCCTCACCTGCCCCCAGCCCCCACCTGATCTCCGTAGGGTACAGCTCTCCCGTGAACAGGTACACACAGATGAAGGAGCTGGCCAGGCAGCCTTTGCCCAGTGCCGCCTGGGCCGTGCGCAGGCTCTGCATATCTGGGGGACAGGGGGACAGAGTTGCAGGGGGAGCCCAGAGCCCATAACGGGAGCAGGGAGGCACAGCAGAGTGGGGCTGGAGGGGGAGGGACTCCTGGGGAGGCTCAGAGCTTGCAGAGGGAGAAAGGAGGCAGAGCCCCGGGGTAGAGGCTGGGGGCGCAGAACATGGAGGGGAGGATGGGGGCTTTCTACCTCCTGGGACCCAGAAGTCTACACACTGCCCTCTCTGCCCTCTGCCTCCTTCCTGCCTTCTGTCACCAGTCCTTCTGGGGAGGCAGGACAAGCTGCAGACTTAGGCCTGGGTTCCATCCCCAGCTCTGACTCAGCTGGGTGACCTGGCCACTGGGTCTCAACCTCTCTGTGCCTCCCTGGCCTCATTTGGAAAATGAGGAAAATACCTGCACCTGCTTCACGGGCTTGTCAGAAGGTTGACATGACGTGGTGAGCGCAAAGTGCTCAGTGTCATTGAAAGTTTGCTGCTGCCATCTTTATTCATCATGCAGCTGGTTATAAACAGCAAAATTCCAGTGACAAGCCCAACATCAGGGTGATAGTCAAAAAATTATGACACATCCTCTGGATTTGGGGGCAACTCCCTCTGCACACTGGAATCAGGAGAGGAGATTTTATAAAACACCCACACCTGGGCCTGGCTCCATCTCCATTACATCAAAGCCTCTTGGGGCTGGTTCAAGTTTGGGTATTTTTAAAAGACCCCCCCAGGGGAGTCTGATGTGCAGCTAGAGTTGGAAAACACCAATAAGGTTAAATACCAAATAGTATAAAAAATTATGGTCACGAAACATTTGCATGAATGTGGAAAAGCAGATTTGTGTTACAACAAATAGTGAAAAGAGATACGCTTTATATAGATAACTATGTATAGTATATACATATACAATCCTATTATAATATTATGTATATATTTATCTCAATTATGTCGAGTATAAAATCTATGAATAGGAAAAAAGATTGGAAGAAAATAAGTCAAAATTTCAATAGTAATAATCTATCTATTTTACCATTTCCTGGTGTCTCAAACAATGAACAATTTGCCTGCAATTTAGGAGACCTCAGTTCAGTCCCTGGACTGGAAGATCTCTGCTGGACTAGAGAATGGCGACCCACTCCAGTATTCTTGCCTGGAGAATCCCATGGACAGAGGAGCCTGGTGGACTACAGTCCATGGGGTCACAAAGAGTCAGATATGACTGAGAGACTAACCCACACACCCATCTATTCTTCAGGGGAGGAACTGAAGTACAGAGAAGTCAAACAACCTGCCCAAGGCTGTGGTGGCAGAACTGGGGTTTTGACCTTGGCTTTGCTCGGGTCTCTGATATGCAAGCCTGGCTTCTTGCTGTGATCACTGGACTAAATACTGAGGTTTGGATCCCTCTCTTTGAGACTGGTTGCCTTGGCCTGGAGCCCATGGGCTTTGGGAGTTTTCAAATGTCTCCAGACTGGAGATGATTGCAGCCAGCTTTGTAAACCACTGTTTCAGGGCCAGTCGGCAGAAGTTCAGACCCTCAAGATACTGCCTAGCCAGGTTCCAGGTGGACATGCCAGCCAGCCCTCTGCCTCTCTAGCTATTCTTAGTGAAGTGAAAAGTGACAGTGTTAGTCGCTCAGTTGTGTCCAACTCTTTGCGACTCCACGGACTATAGCCACGAGGCTCCTCTCTCCGTGGAATTCTCCAGGCAAGAATACTGGAGTGGGTAGCTTTCCACTCTCCAGTGGATCTTCCCAACCCAGGGATTGAACCCAGGTCTCATGCGTTGCAGGCAGATTCTTTACCATCTGAGTCACCAGGGAAGCCCTGGTGTTCTTATCCATCATTCTAATCTCTCTGGCAAGACAGTAAATGTTCTGAGGGCGAAGATTCAGGTCCTTTGAGATTCTCCACTGTGGTACTATCACTAGGTCCTAGTGCTTATTAAAAACTCCAGTAGTCTATAGTCACTTTCTTTCCAGATCCAGAGGCACATCCCTCAGCCTTGTTCCTGCACAGTGTCTGTTGCCCCTCAAACCCTCAACCCCAAAGGCAGAAGCAGGCGGCTCACCTTCCGGCACAAACATGTTCGAGATCACCATGAGCCCAGCCAGGATGAGGAAGGAGGCCACTGTGGCCCGGCGGCCCACGTAAATCATGGTGGTGGTGGCCACCAGCATGGCTGGGATGTCTATGACGCCGAATAGCACCTGTACCAGGTACATGCTGAGCCCAAACTTCTGCAGGTCCATGGCCAGGCCGTAGTAAGCCAGGGAGTTGGAGAACCTGGGAGAGGAGGCAGAAGGGTCTGCTTCACCCCAGAGCTCACTGTCCTGGATCTGAGGAGGGCACCCAAGGATGAACAACACAGGACTCCTCTCTTAGGGAGTGAAAATGCCCCGGCTTGGCAGGACACTCCCTCCCGGTCTCCTAAGCCTGTGATTTTGGCCTTGGAGCCCACGCCCCTCCATCCACATCCCTTTCCAGCCACCCTGAGTCCAGCCAGCACCGTTTCAGCCCCTCTGTCTCCAGGCTTCAGCAGCTGATCTGGACAGGACATCAAGAATTAGAAGGAGGTTCAAGAAAAAGCTTGTGACCATTTTGTATGGCTTGTATGGAAACTTCTGTAAATCTTGTTTTAGTAAAATATTTCTGCTATTCTTAAAAAAAAAAAGAATTGGAGGGAGGGACATCCCTGGTGGTCCAGTGATTAAGACTCGGCTCTTTCACTGCTGTGCCCCGGTAGGGCCCCGGTAGGCCAATCCCTGGCCGGGGAGCTAAGATCTCGGAGTTCACAGCCAAACTGACTGCACTGGCCTGGAGTTCCAACACTTGGGGTCTCCACAGAAACTTACAAGGTCCCTGAGACAATGTCTCAAAGAGTTACTTGTACATCCATGTTCATAGCAGCATCATTCACAACAGCCAAAAGGTGGAAGCAAGCCAGGTGTCCATCAACAACAAGTGGCCTACACACGCAATGACTCAGCCTGAAAAAGGCAGAAATCCTGACCATGCTACAACACCAATGGACCTTGAGGACATTTTACTAAGCGAGATAAGCCACTCACAAAAAGATAAATATCGTATGATTCCACTTACGGGAGGCCCCTAGAGTAGTCAAGTTCACAGACATGGAGGGTAGAATGCAGGTTGCCAGAGGCTGGGGGGAGCAGGAATGGAGGAGATATTGTTTAATAAGTACAGAGTTTCAGCATTGAAAGATGAAAAGAGTTCTGCTGATGGTGGTACAATAATGTTGTAGGTACTCAACACTTCTGAACCGCACAGTTACAAATGGTTAGGATGTTGAGACTTCCCTGGTGGTCCAGTGGTATAGATTCTGCACTTCCACTGCAGGCGGCACAGATTTGATCCTTGGAAACTAAGATCCCACATGCCATGTGACATGGCCCCCCAAAATGGTTAAGATACTAAAGTTTATGTTATGTGTATTTTATGACACTTTCTGGAAGTGAAACAAAATAAAATGTCCCTGAGGAAGGGGCTTGAGATGGGCCCTCATGACCAACCTGCATAGGTCTTGTTTCTCTGTTGGACATGCTGGCACAGACCCAGGAGTGTAGGGAGAGGGGAAGTGGAAAAACAGAAAGTGGCAGTGGGCTCTCTCCTACCAGGGCCCAGCATCAGCCCCCAAACCACTTACTGAGAAACTCCTGCCATCCCTCCTGGTTAGCCCCAGCTGTGTGAGTCAGTGAAGATGGAAAAAAGGAGAACAGACTTCAGGAAAAGGTGATAGTCATTCTTGTGGCCATTATTGACAATAGCCAAGACATGGAAGCAACCTAAATGTCCATGGACAGATGAATGTATAAAGAAGTGGTAGGACATCCCTGGTGGTACAGGGGTTAGGAATCCACCTGCCAATGCAGGGGACATGGGTTCCATCCTTGGTCCAGGAAGATTCCACATGCTGTGGAGCAACTAAGCCTGTGTGCTACATACTAAAGCCCACGTGTCCTAGAGCCTGTACTCCACAACAAGAAAAGCCACTGCAGTGAGAAGCTGTGCACCACAACTAGAGAGTAGCCCCAGCTCTCCGAAACTGGAGAAAGCCACTGCAGCCATGAAGACTCAGTGCAGCCAAGATCAAAATAATAGAATGAATAAATAAAATTTTTAAAATAAAATAAAGGAGATGTGGTATATTTATACAGTGGAATATTACTCAGCCATAAAAAAGAATTAAATAATGCCATTTGCAGTAACATGGAAGGACCTAGAGTTTATCACATCAAGTGAAGTAAGACAGAGAACATAAATATCATTTGATATCACTTATATGTGATATCTAACAAATGATGCAAATTAGTTTATATACAAAACAGAAAGACCCACAGACATAGAAAACAAACTCACAGTTTTTATAGGGAAAAGTGGAGGAATTTGAGATTAACATACATATCTACTATATACAAAATAGATAACCAACAAAGACCTACTGTACAGCACAGGGAACTATACTCAATATTTTTAAATAAACTATAAGGGGAAAGAATCCAAAAAATATATATAATGTATAACTGAATCATTTTACTGTATATCTGAAACTAACACAGCATTGTAAATCAGGTATATACTTCAATTTTAAAAAAGAGAGAGGAAAAAATGACAGATTTTTCTGGGTGAACCTGACCTGGTCATAGAAATCCTTTAATTCTGAATTTAGAGGTCAAAGGTGGGGAAGCCAGAGACTCAAAACGTGAGAAGGATTTGCTGTGATGAAAATTCTCCATTGAGATGGAGGTGGCCGTATGGCAAGGAATATAAACGGCTTCAGTGACCTGAGAGTGGCCCTTGGCTAACAGCCTGTGGAGAAATGAACTTGTCAGTCCCACAACAACAACAAAGAACTGAAAGCAGCCAACAGTTTGAATGAATCTGAAAGTGAATTCTTCCCATGCAGCCTGCCCACCGTCTTCATTTTAGCCTTGTCAGAAAATCCTGAAGAGAGAACTCAACCATATTATGCCTGGACTTCTGACCTACACAGCTATAAGCTCATAAATGGGTATTGTGTGGAATCTAAAATATGACACAAAGGAACTTATCTATGAAATGGAAACAGACTCACAGACGTAGAGAACAGACTTGCGGTTGCATGGGGAAGAGAAGAGGGGGAGGCTGGATTGGGAGTTTGGGATTAGCAGATCCAAACTATTACACATAGGATGGATAAACAACAAAGTCCTACTGTATAGCACAGGGAACTATATTCAGTACCTTGTGATAAACCATAAGAGAAGAGAATATGCAAAAGAATGCATATATATGTAATATAACTGTCACTTTGCTATACAGTAGAAATGAACACAACCTTGTAAATCACTGTAAACCAACTATAGTTCAGCAAAGTAAACTTTAAACAAATGGTGTTGTTTTGAGGGCAGTTCAAGAGAGAGAGGACATATGTATACCGTGGCTGATTCATGTTGATGTTTGACAGAAAACAACAAAATTCTGTAAGGCAATTATCCTTCAATTAAAAAATGAATAAATTTTAAAAAGGGGGAAATTGTTGCTTAAAAGACATTGTTAGTTTATTGAACCTGGGTGTTTCTTAAGACTTCAAATATACTTCTGTATCTTTAATATTTCATTAAAGAAACTCAATTAATGAAAAAAATGGTATTGTTTTCAGCTGTTAAGTTTTTGTCATTTGTTACGTAGCAAGATGAAACTAATACAGTCTATGAAAACTAAAGTGACTGTTGAGAGGGTTGAGGGACACCCAGTCAAAAACTAACTGTTTTATATATCCTTTGCTCAATAACGCATTTGCTCAACTGGGGATTAGAAAGTGGGGAATATAAGGAGTGGCCTATGAGAACGTGAGCTCCCTAGCTGAAAGTATTCCCAGAACCTGGGTCCTGAGGAGCTCTCTGGCTGCCCAGGTCCAGAACGGCCTCACAGGCAACACTTTTGGGGCAGAAACCCTCTGAAGGCTCAGTGCAGGGGAAAATCCCACATTTGCAGGGCACAGGGATGCAAGTGTTTTTCCAGAGTGAGGAACTTCCCAGAATCCCCTGGAGGCATATCAGGATGCAACTAGGTATATTCAAGTTGCCTGGCTGCTTTCAGTCGGTGCCCCCAGCTGGGTGAGACCCATCCCCAGATGTGGGTTCCCTAGGTCAGCAGGGATATCTTATGCATGACCAGGTCTCAGCAACCAGCAGGGTCCATCCCAGAGGACCCTGGATGCTCAGAAGATATGGGAGAAAGCGTGGGGAACAGGACTGACTTCACAAGACCCTTCTGCGCATTGCACTAAGTATTTAAGAGTTTGTCAATGGGGACACTGGCATGTCCTGGCCTTGGGTCAAAGTCCTGGATGGGAGTCCAATACCTACCAGACCACCATGAGACAGCACGTGACTTTACGGATGGCTGAGGTTCGGAAGAGGTCCAAGACTGAGCTGGAGGGGCGACCAGTTGCAAACTCACTCTGGATGTAGGAACTCACCACCTGGGCAAGGAAAGTCTGATCAGGGGAAGGGCGGGATCTGCGATCCTATTCCCAGGGGAGGGCCAAGGTCGAGAGCCCTGGCAGGATGGTTGACCCTTGTCAGCTCCCCAGGCTAGTTCCAGGGCTTTGAGGTGAAGCAGAGACTCCAACCCAAGTCCCAAGACTCCTGGGCTGCCTACTGATTAGGCTGAAATAACCAGGGGCACCCTCAGGCCCCACTCCTGGCATCAGCTCTGAGAGAGTCTCAGCCAATGGTTAAGAAGTTGGGTTCCCAGGGGTTCTGCTACTTCCTGTTGCGTTTTCTTAAGCAGATTGCCTAAGTTATTCTTTCCCTGTCTGTTCCCTCTGGATCCAAAGGGTTGGGTGACTTGGTAATCCAAATATCAGATTCCTCGTCTTTAAAAGTGGGACATTAGGAAATCCCTTGGTGGTTCAGTGATTAGGATTTGGCGCTTTCACTGCCATGGCCCCAGTTCAATCTCCAGTTGGGGAACTGAGATCCTGCAAGCTGCACAGAGCAGCCAACAAAAAAAAAAAAGTGAGGCATTAAATGAGATTGTGTACTTAAAGCCCTTAGCACCGTACTGAACAATTGGCTCAATAAATGTATTTATTTATAATATATGGTAGCTATCTTATCATAAATGGTATGCATAGTAAATGGTACTTTTATTATTGATCATTTGAAATGTCATCTTAAGATTTTTATTTTATTTTATTGAATTTTTGGCTAAATGTGAATGGGTCATTTCCCCATCCCACGGATGGATAGACTGATGAACAAAGAAGTGAAATGATGTACCCCAGATCACAGTGCCATTCAGTGGTTAAACATCTTTGCCCCACTGGAGCTCTTCCCGCTCTGCTTATTCTCAGCCTGTTCACCTGGATGATGAGTCCTGGCAAGTCACCAAATCCTAGCACATCTTGAGGCTGCCAGCAAGACTGAAACCAGTGCTCCCCTAACTTGCACCAGACCTGCCTACCTCCTTGGTCAGCCTTTCCCCTTCCTCCTTTCTCCCGTTCATCGCAGCCACCTTCCGCAGGTTCTTCAGAGCTACCTGGGACTTGCCATGAAGGAGGAGCCATCGAGATGACTCTGGCAGCCACCTGGGACCAAGAGAAGGATGGAGAATGAGTGGCACTGAAATGGCCACTGTGATGGCCTGTGATGGCCACTGGGGCACTGAATGGATTGAGTGGTACTCATGCCGTTCCTCAAACCAGAGTACACCCTCTTTCACCTTCCAGACCTCAGAAAAAAGGAAAAACCCTTGCTGTCAGCAGAATTGGGAAGACTGGGGGACATGTGGCCTCCCTTTTTTGCAGCACAACTTTCAGAGAATTTCTGCAGTGTACTTAGAGACGACATGGACCTTCAGGTATCCACAGATCTAGTTTTGAACCTGGTTCTGACCCCAGTAGGTGGCTTTTTTGCTTGTTTTGTTTTGGTTGTTTGTTGTAGCTAATTTTCTTTTTTTCTTAAAATTTTTACTGGCGTATAGTTGATTTATAATGTTGTGCTACTCTCTGCTATAACAGCAAAGTGAATCAGTCATACATATACCTAAATCCCCTCTTTTCTAGATTCTCTTCCTATATAGGTCATTACAAAGTATGGAGTAGAGTTCTCTATGCTATACAGTAGGTCCTTATTGGTTATCTATTTTATATATGAAAAAAAAGTCAAAGTGTGTTGCTCAGTCACATCTGACTCTTTGCAACCCCATGGACTGTAGACTCCTCTGTTTATGGATTTCTCCAGACAAGAATACTGGAGTGGGTAGCCATTCCCTTCTCTAGGGACTCTTCCCGAACCAGGGACTGAACCTGGGTCTCCTGCACTGCATGCATATTCCTTACCAGCTGAACCACCAGGAAGCCCTAATTTATATATAGTAGCGTATATATCAGAGAAGGCAATGGCAACCCACTCCATACTCTTGCCTGGAAAATCCCATGGACGGAGGAACCTGGTAGGCTGCAGTCCATGGGGTCACTAAGAGTCGGACACGACTGAGCGACTTCACTTTCACTTTTCACTTTCATGCATTGGAGAAGGAAATGGCAACCCACTCCAGTGTTCTAGCCTGTAGAATCGCAGGGATGGGGGAACCTGGTGGGCTGCCGTCTCTGGGGTCACATAGAGTCGGACACAACTGAAATGACTCAGCAGCAGCAGCATACTATTACAAAACATAGCCACATGACCATTTTTAAAAGCTTTATTGAGATATTCCACCCTTTCAAAGTGTACAATTTGATGTTCAGAGAAGGAAATGGCAACCCACTCCAGTATTCTTGCCTGGAGAATCCCAGGGAAGGGGGAGCCTGGTGGGCTGCCATCTATGGGGTCGCACGGAGTTGGACACGACTGAAGCGACTTAGCAGCAGCAGCAGCAGGGTGTATATGTCAATCCCAGTCTCTCCCAGTGTGTGGCTTTGAAGAAGTCATGGATCCACCTGGGCTGCCTCAGCACTCCTCTTATAAAATGCCCCGGGGTTGTTGTGAGGTGCAAAGGACTTGATGAAGGCAAAGCTCTTGGTGTGTTCTGGAGCCTCACAGTAATATAAGGGGTTCTATCCTGAACCTGCCCACAGCCATGCATAATCCTCGTGAGCCCATGTCCTCACTCCTTCATGTCCCCACCACGTCCCCCAGATTCCAGTCGCTGCCCACCCCAAGGCTCCCCCAGGGACAGGTGAGGACCTGGCTATACAGGTGCACTCTGCCCCAGCCCTTTCTGCTCAGGACGTACCAAGAGTAGAAGAAAAAGACGAGGAAGGGGACAGAGACGGCAAACTGCAGCCACCGCCAAGGGCGGATCAGGTACGCCACGCCCGCCAGGATGAGCTGACCCGAGGTGAACGAGTACCCCAGCAAGATCCCCGCCATGGTCCGGCCCCGGGTGGGCATCCACTCCACGACTGCGGAGAAAACCACGCCAGGCTCAGTGGGGCTTGTTGCTCACGTGGGTGTTTAATTCAAGCCCCCCACCCCCACCCCGCTGCTTTAGGATGACTCTGTGGCCACTGGAAATCATTCCAGAGAGGCACTGAGCATGGGCAAAGGTGTCCCAACCTCAGTCCTTACCCTTAGACAAGTGCCAGGTGGACTAAAGAACTCCATGTAGGGCTTCCCCGGTGGTCCAGGGTTAAGAATCCACCTTGCAAGGCAGGCGACGCCCGTTCAATTCCTGGTCCAGGAAGATTCCACCCACCATGGGGCAACTAAGCCTGTGCACCACAACTACTGAAGCCTGAGCCTAGAACCTGTGCTCCACAATGAGAGAAGCCACTGCAGTGAGAAGCCTGCACACTGCAGCTAGAGAATAACCCCGCTCTCCAAAGCTAGAGAAAGCCCCTGCACAGCAAGGAAGGCCCAGCACAGCCAAAAATAAATGAATACATACTAAAAAGGAACTAAACGTAACAATAAAACCACAACAATATTAGAAGAAACCATGCTAGATGTCTTTTCGATCTTAGAGTCTGGAAAGGCTTTTCCAAGAATGTCACAAAACCCAGAAACAACAAAAGGGAAGACCAACAAAGAGCTTCATAAAAATAAGAAGTATCTGCTGAAAAAAAATACCTATCGTAAGCAGAATCATAATTTCAGCAAAAAAGATAGGGAAAAAGAGTACCATTTCAAATAACAAAGGGTGAATTTCCCCAATCTGGGAAGAATTCTTACAGATCAATAGGAAAACAACTAACCAAAAGAAAAATAATTAGCCAAAAGGAAAAATGGGCAAAGGATGTTGAAAAGGGAATATAATTACTCTTAATTACATGTGTGTGTCTGTGTTGGTTGCTCAGTCGTGTCCAACTCTTTGTGACCTCGCGGACTATAGCCTGCCAGGCTCCTCTGTCCATGGAATTCTCCAGGAAAGAATAGTGGAGTGGGTTGCCATTCCCTCCTCCGGGGGATCTTTCTGGCCCAGGGATTGAACGAACCCGGGTCTCTTGCACTGTAGGCAGATTCTTTATCATCTGAGCCACCAGAGAAGTCTCTCTTAAATACAAGATTTTTTGCAAATAGAAAAACTTGGAAACAATTTAAATGTCCTTCTGTGGGGGCCTGGTGAAATAGAGCATGCACACTGTCACAAAACAACCAGAATAAACGGAAGAGGATGCTGCTTTCAGTCAGCAGCCAGCTCGTGTGTTCAGTCCATTGGCAAATCCTGTGGCTTCTCCTTGCAGAACCAAACCAGACCCTGAGCCTTCCCGACTCCGGCTGTGCCACCCCCTGGCCCACTCCAGCCTCGCCTGTTGCCAGGTGATGGATAAGCCTCAGACTGGCCTTCCTGCTCCTGTCCTCGAGCTGCATGGCAGCCTGAGGGGTCCTGGCCGATGCCAAGTGGGACCAAGTCAGGCCTGTCCTCCACTCAGGACCCTCCCGAGGCTCCCCCCTCACCCAGAGTCAAAGCCAACGTCCTTCAAGGCCACCAGGTCTAAGGACCTGCCACTGTCACCCCAGCCCTGTTTGTCACCCACCTCAGCTCTGTCCAGCCACAAGGACCTCCTCCTTGCTCTTGAGTCCACTAGACACACTCTTGCCTCAGGGCCTTGGTCTGGAACGTTCTCCCCCGGTGGCCACAGGTCCCCTTCCCTCACCTCCCTCAAGCTTTGGTCAAAGTGACCCCTTCTCAGCGAGGCCTGCCCTGAGCCAATAAAACTGCAGGCTCTCTCCGCCTCAGGCCGCCACCGCCTGGCCCCCTCGCCTGGCCGCTCTCATCCCCTTTCTGTTTTCCTCTGTAGCACTTATCACCTTCTAACACACTATGCAGTTTGCTTATTAGTGTTGTTTATCTGTCTTCCTGCAGGAGAACACGGGCTCTATAGAGCAGGATCTACTTGTTTGCCATCTCCCACACCTAGAAGTGTGTGTGTGTGTGTGTGTGTGTGTGTGTAGGGATGTGTGTATATGGTGCATGTCTTGTGGTTAGGAGTGTGTATGGTGTACGTGTAATGGTTAGGAGCATGTGTGTGTGTCTGTATGTAGGAGTATGTGTTTATAGGTGTGTGTGTTATGGTTAGGAGTCCATGTGTATGTGTAGAGGTGTGTGTATATTGTTGTGTAGGGGTGTGTGTTGTGGTTAGAAGTGTGCATGTGTGTATGTCAGGGTGTGTGTATATGGTCTCTGTGTGTATGTGTGTAGGCGTGTATATTATGCAAGTGATTCTCGCAGGAGATGGATTTTGGACGACTGTTTCTGCCTTTAGATTCCACAAGCCATGGCTGGACGCCCACCCTGAAGAATGAGGCGGGTGGGCTGGGGTTTGCTGAGATCCCACCATGAGCTCAGCACCCTTCAATGTCTGAATGAGGGGAGGAGAGGTGACCAGAATGTGACCTGGAGCAGCCTGGTTCTCCAGCCCCAAGATTCCCCACTACCCTGTGATAGAAGACCCCAGCAAACCAAGTAATTAGAGGCAGGGGGTGGGCGTGCGTCCAGGGTGGGCTTCCTCTGCCCACACAGCTCTCTGCCAGAGCCTCTGGGAGCTGCCTGGAACCAGCCTGGAGTGGCAACTGACCCTGTCACTGTGGGGTGGGGACACTCCCACCTGGCACCCAGGAGGCCAGGCCACCAGTGCCCTCAAGAGGAAGCCTCACCTCTTTTGGATCCACATACTTTTGGGGTGCCTGCCGCCCACCCTGGGGACCCCTGTGTCTCACCTCGTTTCCATGTCCCCACACTAAGCCCCACAGGAGCCTACTGGCACACAGTAGGTCCTTTGTAAGTGGTTATTGCTGACTAATTCACACAAGAAGTGAACCCAACCCTCATAGCTCGCAAATCCAGGGTTCCTGGCTCGCTGCTGGCAGGGCCACCGCTGAGAGCCCAGGTCTCCTGAGAACTCCGGTGGGAGGCTGTGAGTTGAGGTCACTGGATGAGAATCCCACCATAAGGAAATGGGAACGATGCCCACCAATGGGGCTGCCACCGCCCTCCTGCCCCTGCAAGCTCCCTCCCCTCCAGGCCCCTCCATGGCTGGACTCACCCAGAGAGAGCGAGTTTAGGATGATGCCGGAGAAAGTCATGCCCATCAGGAACCGGCAGAAGCAGTAGGCGCCGAAGGAGCCGAAGTACGCCGTGGCCGCCCCCGAAACTGCCAGCTGCAGGTATGACCAGACCAGGGGGGCCTTGCGGCCCAGCCTGAGCCCAGCCATGGGCGCAGGGTTAGGGTTCCGAGGTGGCAGCAGTTCCCCCATGGCTGTCATGGAGGGAGGATGAGAGGAAGCTACTTACCCCCACCCCCCTCACCCCCCAGTTTGAAAGCCACTCATCCGAACAGAAGCGCACTCACTGGGGCCCAGGCACCGGCAAAGGCCAGGGAGGGAGAACACGGTGTGGAAGGAGAGCGGGGATGAAGACACACCTTCCCGCCTTCGTTCTTTCACTCAAGGAGAATTCTAGCTCCCAACCAAGCCCCCACTCTCCCAGGATTTAGGGGAAGGCAGCGATTCTGCAGAGGCCAGAAGGGGGTGCAGAGGGTTATGAGAGGGTCCCTTGAGTGACTTTCTGTTCGGGGGTAGCCCTCCAACCAGAACTCATGGGGGTGTGAGCCCTCGAGGGGGCCCAGGCTGATGGGAACAGGACCCCAGGTCTTCATTGGAATTGGTCATTTTGGGGGGACCAGGGTGAGGTGGGGCTAGTTATAGTGTAAAGGAGTCCAAGGCCAGGGAAACAGGGCCTTGGCATCGCCCCATTTGTAAAGTGAGGGTCCAGGGCTGGAGCCCCAGCTTGTCCAGGTGGGCAGCACTTCTTGCTCACACACCACATGTTACACTCATTCATTCCATCATTCATTCATTGATTCTGTTGCACAGATGTCCATTGGTGACCTCTAAGCGGTAGGTCTGAGCTGGGGGCTGGTGACAAAGAAGACACTATGCCTAAGACACAGCAGTCCAGGGGACCCCAGAACCTGAAGACCGAGAGGAGGGGCTGTGGGGAGGGGAGAGGAGAGGGGGCGAGAGAGAGAAGGGGAGGCGAAGCAGGGAGGGAAGGGAAAGAGGACAGAGGCGGGAAGGAGCCAACTCCATCAGAGCCGTGGTGTGTGCTGCATTTCAGGGTGTCTCTGTATCCTCAGGGACCCTTATGGTCAGCAGTGGCTCACCCACACAGTGGGGTGCAGCCTGGATGTAGGCAACACGCGGTGTCTGAAGCAACGCGCAGAGGCCACGAGTGAAGTAAAATAAAATCTTGATAGAGAACCGTATGTGGGCTGTGCCCGCGTTTGTATAGACAAGGGGGATGGAGCGCAGGCACGTGCTCTCTCGGACTGGTGTTGTTCAGTCGCTCGGTCGTGCCTGACTCTGCGACTCCACGGAGAGTCGCCAGAGTCTGCAGCTCACCAAGCCTTGGATGGTACAAAATTGTAAAACATCTCTGTGAGATACACAGAAACCAGGCTGCCCTAGAGGGATTACTGGAGCCCAGGGCAGAGGGGAGATCGCTGGCCTGCATACCCACTTGTACCTTCTGGAATTTTGAACCATGTGAATGTATTCTATGTATTATAATGAATTATATAATACAATATATAATACATATATCTACTTTAAGATATGCATTTTACATACATATTAAATACATTAAAATACATATTATTTTAAAATTTGGTTTAAAATAAACTTTAATAAAGAAAAGTTAATGGATAGACTGGGGAGACCTTTGCCCCCGAAGGCTCACCTGTCTGCAAGGCTGCCAAACACAGCGGCGCCTGCCAGCACCCCGGCCATGTAGATGGATTGAGCCAGGTCACGGAGGGTGCGGGCCTCGCACACCAGGTCCCACTGCGGGGGAGGGAGGGACGCTCCAGCCTCGGCCTGGGGTGCAGCCCCCACCAGCCCCACAGTCCCTGGCTCCTCCTGACCTCCGTCACGATGGTGGACGGGAAGACACTGCGGTTGTAGACCCAGCCGTCCTTGCAGCCCTCCGTGGCTGCCCCGTGGACAGAGGCGTTGGGGCTCAGGAGGGCCCACTGAGGCTGTGTGAAGCGCCGACATGGCTCGGGGACCCCGAGCGGGTCCAGGGGTACGGTGGCCCTCAGCCAGGCCTCCGAGCCGTAGACGGCGGCCGCAGTGTGGTTGGCGGGGCTTTGGCAGTGGTGGGGGGGCACGGCGGCCGTGAAGTTCTGCAGGAAGTTGTGACAGGCCAGCAGGCTGCAGGGCAGCAGCAGCAGGGCCGTGGAGACCAGCTGGAAGCGACCCACGCCACCCAGGGCGTCCAGCAGGTCTGTGAAGGCCATGGCCCCGGGCCTGACCTGAGGCCCAGGTGTGGAGCCTTAAGTAAAGGGGCTGGGACGGGGCCCTGGGAGGTGGAGGAACAGGCTGGGGTTAGGACCGCAGATGCCCCATGTCCGGAACTCACAGGGGTCCGGTTACACCTCACAGGAGGCCTGGGGCGTCCCCAGGTCTGCAGGCTTCCCTCCTGCCAGGCCCTTTCTCCTAATCTCTCACCTCCTGGGTTAGAAAAGCAAGGGGTCCCAGGGGGCCGCCTCACAGCCCCCTGCCCAGATCTGCAGGCCCAGCCCCCTGCCCACGGCCCTCATGGGGGGGGGGGGGGCGATGCTGACAGTAAATGCAGCACCAGCGTCACCCTCCCCTTCTCTCTGGAGGCCGCAGTGAGCCATCTTCAGGAGCCTAATTCCAGCCTCAGCACACGGGACACAGGCCTGCCACTGCTCTCCCCTGAGGCCAGAGCCTTAAAAGCTTGGAGATCATGTAAGGGGGTGCCAGAGATTATTGCTGCTTGCCTCTCACCCATTTTCCTGGAAGTCGGGGGCTGCACAGGAGATACTCAGAAAAAAGTCCTTTAAAAATGCCCAAACTTTTGGAAAAAAAAAAAAAGTCCAAACTAGGCAACCAAGAGGAAGGCCTGCTCTCCCTGCTTCCACCCCAGGCACCCTCAGGCTGGGGGTGGGTGAGGGGGTAGGGCCTCCAGGCTTGGGCACCCACAGTGTCCCAGCCTCTCATCAAAGAAAACCCACTACACAGAACTAAGAGGATGGGGCCCTCCACCTGCCCCCTCTCACAAACCAGCCCCGGCGCCCAGGAAATGATGGGCCACTCCCCTTACTGATGAGACCCAGCGAACCGGCCCATGGACTCCCAAAGGCAAAATGCAGATTCCAGGCCCCGTCTGCCACTCGGGGCTCCGCCTGGGGCTCCCGGGGCCAAGGGCAGTCCCCACCCTCTACCTGGCCCTGTCAGTTTCTGCCCTGCAGGTGCTGCCCTAGTTTGCAGCTCCCCCCAGCCCCTCCTCTACCCCCAACTCAACCTACTCTTATCTCTGGTAAGAAGAACCGGGATCCCAGAAGGACCGGAACAGCTTATACAAGCCGCAGGTGTCTGGGTCACAGGGGCAACTCCCCTCCCCCAGCCTCAAGAAGGCTTTCAGGAGGCTCTGTGTTCTGGGGAGCTTCCTGGGGGTCAGGCTGGTGTTAAGCAGGGGTTTGGGTCTCAGCCAGAGCCTCATGTTCCCTGCAGAACGTGCAGGGAAGGAAGGGGTCAGGGCTTAGAGGAGGGGGGCATGGAGGACCAGCAGGGCCACGTGGGACCTCAGCAGTGTGGCCCCATCCCCGCCCCCACCCCCCAGATGCCCAGGACTCTAGCAGAGGTGCCAGCCACTGGGGCGATGGGGAAGGAGACAGAGGGCAGGGCAGGGGCGCGTGCAGGACCAGGTGCCCTTGTGGGCCAGCAGGTTTAGGCAGACACACACTCCAGAGACAAAAGTGGGGTCTTTGCCTTTATTGTTCGGGGTTTCTCCGTATGTAAACATGAGACGCCTCCCACCCCATCCCCAGGTGCCTCTGGTACCCCCCTCACTCAGTCCCCACAGAGTCCCCTTTAAAATCACCAATATAAAAAAGGAGAGCGGGAGGGAGGGAGGGAATGACCACCCCCAGGCTAGGCGGCTTCTTGCCAGCTGGCAGGGACAGGGGCAGAGGGGAGCGTTGGCTTCCGCACAGGCACGAACACGTGTTCCCAGTCCTGGGGAGGGGGCCCCAGCTGGGAGGGGGCTCCACAGGTCTAGACTGCAGACTGTTGCAGAGCTAGTGGTTATAAAGTGTGCAGGTGGGGGAGGGGGCGGATGGGGGGCCTGTGGGGGAGGAGAGAGGACACGTCAGGATGTGGGAGGCCTGGGGCCCCCAGCTCGCCGGGGAGCCCCATCCTGAGGCAGGAACTGGCGAAAGCTGCCTCCCTGGTCTGGCGGCCAGAGGAGCTGGGGGAGTCCGTGTGCGCCTGGTGGAGGCAGGGAGGGCCCCATGGCTCTGCCCAGAGCAAATGAGCTGCGGCGGCTGAGAGGTGGGGGGATAGGAGGTTGAGACCACCTCCTGCGCCAAGGAAGGCACTTGCAGCTGGTGTGGCGTCGCAGGAAGGCATGGCTTGGCGGACGAGGAGGACAGAGGAGCGCAGCAAGGGGGCCTGAGCCCCCGCCTCATGCAAACATGGTCAGCTGTAACCACTGCCAGGCAGAGAGCATAGAGAGAGGTCGGCCAGGGCAGAAGCCCCAGGTCCAGCCTCCCAGCTCCATGGCTCAGGGGCTGCCGTCTCCTCCCCCCGTCAGGGCAGGAGGGGGAGGGGGCCACTTTTACCTCCTCCACCCCTGGGGGCCCAGGCTGCTGGCTCCAGTGCAGGCCTCCAGGGGCCTGGGCCTCCCTGCCCCCACCCTCAGAAACCAGAGATCCTTGCTGTGTCCTTGCAGGATGCAGGTGGCCAGCCTCAGGGCTGATTCTGAGGCTGCAGGCTCCAGCCCCCCGTCATGGGGTGGGGGGTGGGTGAGAAAAACCCACTGCCCCTGAGCCCTTCCCGCATCCGACCAGAGGAGAGCCCCACCTTAAACAAGTCAAAGGTCACCACTCCATCCAGATCAGTGTCCAGAGTTTTGAAAAACCCTGTGTGTTCAAGAAACGATGAGCTGGGAGGAGGACTTAGTTCAAGGGCCGGCCCCACCTCCCGCCTCACCCTCCACCTCCCCACGGCACCCCAAACTCTCGTACCCTCACAGCCGGGGAGCATCTCCCCCTGCTGCCTGAGAGCCCCCTCCAGAGTTCCCTCCCTACTCCTCATCTCCTGGCAATCAGCCTGTGTGGACCCCCAGCTCCACTCCCCGAGACCCCCATGGGAAGGGGGCGCCCACGGGGACACTCACGGAACATGGTCTCCAGCCGCACCAGGCAGCACACGAAGTTGTCGAAGTCCACGGCCAGGTCGGGCTCCGAGTAGCGGGTGATAATGAGTTCGTACAGCTTCTTGTTGAGCTTGAAGCCTGGCCCAGGAGAGCAGGTGAAGCACCGGGAGGTGCAGGAAGGGGGACGGAAGGCTGGGCGGGGTGAACCCTGGGTGGGGGGTCCTGGGCAAGTGCTGGCCCAGAGAAAGGTTGAGGACCCAGTATGTCCCACCCAGGAGCTGGCCATCAGGGCCTACAGGTCCAGTTTCATCTGCTCGGAAACCCCTGGCCTCATCCTCAAGTGGGACTGTGAGGGTGAGCCCTGCACGGCTCCCATTGGAGCCCCTGGAGGCCAGCTCTACTTCTCCCTGGCTGTGTGGCTCCAGGCCAGTCACTTCCCCTCTCTGAGCAGGCACTTTTCTCTGTGCTCAATGAGATAATAAAAGACCCTATCCTCAGCAGGTTGCAGTGAGGACAAAAAGAAATGCTGATAATAGTCACCAGAAGAAAAAGGCAGTTAGATGGCTGTTATCACTTCACCACCATTGCCATCAACACCCCTGCCCTGCCCCCTCTCCCCTGCCCCCATGGGTGGGCCACTGCCCTTGGAGCTATCAGGGAAGCGACCCGGGGCCATCTCCCTGGGGGCTCCACAGGTCCTGCCCGCCCTCAGGCCTCACCTGCAAACTCAATGGCCATCCGCATCTCATAGGCACTCATGCTGCCAGACTTGTCCAGGTCAAACTTCCGGAAGATGGACTGGGGTGGGGGGCAGAGGGTGAGGGCTCGGTAAGCATCCAGCCCTTCCCATCCACCCAGTGTGGAGGGTTACTGAGGGTGGGGGGAGAGGGGGTGAGCCGCTGGGACATGTGGGCTCAGAAAGGCAGAAGCCAGGGTGAGGGCTTGGGAACCACACAGCCGGTCCGGGAACCGGAGGCCCGCCGCCCGCTGTGATTGAGGCCGCAGAAGAGGGGAGGGTGCTGCCGGCAGGAACTACCCACCAGGTAATTCCGGATCCGGTTCCACAGGATGTTGAACTCCACCAGGCCCAATTTGCCATTGCCGTCCCGCTGGGCGGCCGTTAAGAAGAAAACTCCACAGCTTAAACCAGACACCGGGTGAGCGGGTGCTGAGCACCGAGGGGAGGGGAGACTGGCCGTGGAGAGAAACCCGAAGAAGGGGAGCGGAGAAGCTGCAGGAGCCACCCAAGGCCAGGCCTGAATCGGGGTAGGCTGGGAGGGGAGTTCACTGAGTGCCAGCCTTGGGGTCACCTGTGGACGAGGCCCTCCCCCGTCACTTGACACAACCCTGCGCCTCAGTTTTCCCCCCATTCAAGGGGAGGACACCAGGAAGAAGGAACTGGCCCGTCCACACCTGCCCTTTTCCCTACACTGCTCCTGGGACGGGTCACCCACAGCCCTTCCCGGGCCAACGTCCCAACCCTGGGCCCTGCTCAGCAGGATACATCCATGAGGTTGACCATACTGCGGCAGGACTCCAGGCTGAAGCCTGTGGTCCGCAGGTCTTTGTCTGCAAGAAAGACCAGTCTCAGCACCTCAACCCGGCCAGTGGCCCCAGCCTGCCCCGTGCTGGGAGGACTCGGTGGGACAAAGGGGCGGGGAGGCACCATTCCTGTCCCCTGGAATCTAAACTCTAGCTGAGGAGGTGTGTAGGATTGTTTTTATCATCAGAAAAAGGAGTTTAAAGTATTCTAGGAGTCAAGCCGCTGACCCAACAGCCACATCAGCACCACGATCAGATGTGAGTAAGAAGGAACAGTGCTAGACAGAAGTAAAGGAAATGAGGTAGAAACATGAAGCAAAGGTGGTCCCGGCAGGGCTAGGGGTTGCTGCAGGTCCCGAAGGGCGAGGAGAGCAGGAGAGAGGGGTTCTGGGCTGAAGGAAAAGCATGGACAGAGGTCGGAGGTCAGAGGTCAGAGGCGGGGGCAAAGGGAAGGCTGAAAGGCAGCTGTCTTTAGTTGTACACCTTGGAGAGTGAAGCCAGTCATCTGTCACCTGCCTTCTGGGAGGAAGGGGGCTGGCACACTGGCCCTAAGGTGCCATCAGCCAGCTAAGCTGCTGCTTTTTTAAAATATCCATCCATTTATTTATCTGGCTGCGTTGGGTCTTAGTTGCGGCATGCAGGATCTTCCTTGTGGCACATGGACTCCCCAGTTGTGGCACAAGGGCTTTGCTGCCCCTGGGCCAGGAATCAAAGGTGGATTCTTAACCACTGGCCCACTCCCCAGCTAAGCTGCTCATCACACCAGGGCCTGGAGCTCAGGCAGAGAGAATGGGATCCGGCAAGAGGAGCTTAGGAGGAAAAAGTGGGGTGAGCAGGGTTCTGAAAAGCAGTGGAGGGTGCCAGCCCTCAAAGATCGAGGGGTTGGGTTCAGCCCAGGGTGGAAGGAGAAGGCTAGATCCTGGAGTCTGGAGGAATGGGGGATGAGGGGGTGGAGGCAGGACGCGGGGTGGAGAGCAATCGCCCGGGGACACTCACGTTTGCTGATGATCCTGTTGAGGATGGTCCGCAGCTCCTTGACGCTGATCTCCAGGTCCTGGGGGAAGAAGGAGGATGGCACCTGCCCTGGGGAAGCCCCTCGGTGCCCCAGAACACCCGTCACCAGGCCCAGCCTACCTCCCCTGCCAGTTGTCTGAAGAGGGACTTGAAGTTCTCATCAATCTCCTCTTCTGAGAGCACTTGCTGGAGGGAGAAGGCGGGGAGAGCCGGTCAGGGGCGCCCCAGCCTGGCCTCTGCATGGCCAGCAGCTGCAGGCGGGGCTGGGAGCACTCGTCAGCTAGGTGTCACTTCATTCAGAGCCTCACTCTCCTCATCTGTAAAATGGGAACCCAGCCCCTACTCTATCCCTGCCCAGAACTCCTGTGGTCTAAATGTGGAGGCGGAAGTTCAGTCCAATGATGAGGGGCGAGGCTGGATCCCTGTTGCATGACCAGGTTCCCTGACCTCTCTGAACCTGAGTTTCCCTCTGAGAGGAGAGATGGCCACAGCACCCTGACACGGTTGTTCTGGAGGAAACCGGGTGACCCAGGTAAACAGCTCAGCACAGACCCTGTAGACAGCAAGAACCCAAGGGCCCTGCACCATTACTATCACCAAGTCCTTTGCAAACTGTAAAGTGCTTGGCAAGTGAGGGATGTGTGTGGCTCCTACCAGGAGGGGCTCTGCCCTGCCGGCTGGAGACCAAGACACAGGCCCCCCGGGTCCCCATCGCGCACCCAGGGAGGGGGCAGGGCACATACCTCGTCGGGGAGATTGGCCTGGACCTGGTCGTCCAGCTCTCTGCAGAGGGTGGGGAGAGAGGGGCCCGTCAGCGGGAGTTGGGGTAGCGAGGGCGTGGCGGGAGGAAAAGGGGAGACGGGGGAGGGGCTTTCTACTCACTGGGTCCCTGCGCACTTCTCTGAGAAGAAACGCAGCACAAAGTCGCCCTCCTTGTTGGGCTCGAAGGTGGAGGGCACCACCACGTACTCCCCGGGCGGCAGGCGGAAGCGGGTGCTGACCTCCCGCAGGTTGATGAACTGCTCGGACCGGGCCCGGGATGCATTGGCCAGGAAGAAGTCTCGCTTCAGGTGCACGGCCGGCTGGCCCACCAGCTGGTGGGGTGGAAGGAAGAAGTGGGGGCTGCAGCTCAGCCCACCCTTAGGAGTTGCCCCCAAACCCAGACCCAGACCTCAAGCTCCAGGTTCTGGCCAAGGGGCCGGAGAGCAGGGTCACGGCTCAGTCACCCACATTCGGCCCAACCCTGACGAGTCACACTGTCTGTTTCCTCATCTGTAAAATGGGTGTGAGAACCCTGCCTACTGCACAGGGGTGAGGGGAGGAGACACCATGGAGGTGAGTGTAGACAGTGAGGGAAACCACCAGCCCATTCAGGTGTGACCTAAACCAAACCCCTTACGATTATACAGTGCAAGTGACAAATAGATTCAGGGGATTAGATCTGATGGACACACTGCCTGAAGAACTATGGACAGAGGTTCGTGACATTGTGCAGGAGGCACTGATCAAAACCATCCCCAAGAAAAAGAAATGCAAAAAGGCAAAGTGGTTGTCTGCGGAGGCCTTACAGATAGCTAAGAAAAGAAGAGAAATGAAAGGCAAGGGAAAAAAAGGAAAGATAAACCTATCTGAATGCAGAGTTCCAAAGAATAGCAAGAAAAGATAAGAAAGCCTTCCTCAGTGATCATTGTAAAGAAATAGAGGAAAACAACAGAATGGGAAAGACTAGAGATCTCTTTATGGATGGACCTAACAGAAGTAGAAGATATTAAGAAGAAGTGGCAAGAATACACAGAAGAACTGTACAAAAAAGATCTTAATGACCCAGGTAGCCATGATGGTGTGATCACTCACCTAGAGTCAGACATCCTGGAATGCGAAGTCAAGTGGGCCTTAGGAAGCATTACTATGAACAAAGCTAGTGGAGGTGATGGAATTCCAGCTGAGCTATTTCAGATCCTAAAAGATGATGCTGTGAAAGTGCTGCACTCAATATGCCAGCAAATTTGGAAAACTCAGCAGTGGCCACAGGAATGGAAAAGGTCAGTTTTCATTCCAATCCCAAAGAAAGGAAATGCCAAAGAATGCTCAAACTACCGCACAATTGTACTCATCTCACATGCTAGCAAAGTAATGCTTAAAATTCTCCAAGCCAGGCTTCAACAGTATGTGAACCGTGAATTTCCAGATGTTCAAGTTGGAATTAGAAAAGGGAGAGGAACCAGAGACCAAATTGCCAACATCCGTTGGATCATAGAAAAAGCAAGAGAATTCCAGAAAAACATCTGCTTTATTGACTATGCCAAAGCCTTTGATTGTGTGGATCACAACAAACTGTGAAAAATTCTTCAAGAGATGGGAATACCAGACCACCTTACCAACCTCCTGAGAAATCTGTATGCAGGTCAAGAAGCAACAGTTAGAACCGGACCTGGAACAATGGACTGGTTTAAAATTGGGAAAGGAGTACGTCAAGGCTGTATATTGTCACCCTGTTTAATTAACTTATATGCAGAGTATATCATGAGAAACGTTGGGCTGGATGAAGCACAAGCTGAAATCAAGACTGCAGGGAGAAATATCAACAACCTCAGATATGCAGATGACAACACCCTAATGGCAGAAAGCAAAGAGGAACTAAAGAGCCTCTGGATGAGAGTGACAAAGCTGCCTTAAAACTCAACTTTCAAAACACTATGATCATGGCATCTGGTCCTATCACTTCATGGCAAGTAGATGGGGAAATAGTGGAAACAGTGACAGACTATTTTCTTGGGCTCCAAAATCACTGCAGATGGTGACTGCAGCCATGAAATTAAAAGACACTTGCTCCTTGGAAGAAAAGCTATGACAAACCTAGACAGCTTATTAAAAAAGCAGAGACATTACTTTGCCAACAAAGGTCTATCTAGTCAAAGCTATGGTTTTTCCAGTAGTCATGTATTGATGTAATAATTGGACCATAAAGAAAACTGAGTGCTGAAGAATTTATGTTTTTGAACTGTGGTGTTGGAGAAGACTCTTGAGAGTCCCTTGGACTGCAAAGAGATCCAACCAGTCCAGCCTAAAGGAAATCAGTCCTGAATATTCATTGGAAGAACTGATGCTGAAGCTGAAGCTCCAATACTTTGGCCACCTGATGGGAAGAACTGACTCATTAGAAAAGACTGTAGGTGGGAGGAGAAGGGGACGACAGAGGATGAGATGGTTGGATGGCATCACTGACTCGATGGACATGAATCTGAGTAAGCTCCAGGAGGAGGTGATGGACAGGGAGGCCTGGCATGCTACAGTCCATGGGGTCACAAAGAGTCGGACACAACTGAGCGACTGAACTGACTGATGACACCATGAAATAACTTTCTTATCATCCTTACCAGGAGCTTCCCATATAAGACATTGCAGGGCCCTCCACACAAGGCACCTCACTTATGCTCATGGGAGCCCATGAGGCTTAGAGCTTAAGCAACTTGCTCAAGGGCACAGAACACTCAGCCCACCCACTACCCCGTTCCCAACCAGCGTCCCAGATGTCCTCAGTGTAAAGAGTCAGACAGGAAGAGCCTCATGCGTGCGGTTCAGGCAGGGCTCTGAGGGTCAAGGTTCAAATCCAGCCTCCTTACTTGTTATCTGCTCTGACATGCAGGACACTGTTTGCTCTGCCCACTGAATAGCGGGCAAGGGGTTGGGGGCACTGTGTGAGCCCCCAAAGGAGGCGACGTCTTAGCTCTCTAGGTGTGAGCGTGCCGCTGTCCTGCTCCCTCTGGGCACCATCAGGCCACGTGTGTTCAAGGGTGTGTAAATCCAGGTGAGTCAGGTGCCACACCTACCTCTGGAGGGACCTGCCGGAGAAATGAGGGGAGTTAGAGATACACGCTTGGCCCAGGGGCAGGGGGTGTGATGTGTGCCACACAGGGGCCCCGAGTTCTTTGGATGAAAAGGACAGGATGGGGAGACCAGGAGGGTTAGGGATGGGCCTGGGGCTACTGTTGCCTCAGATCTGTTTGCACGCCAGAGGGCCCTGGTCCCTGGAATGCCCTGCACCTCGGCTCTGAACCGGAGTCTCCAGATTGCCCCCTGGGGGGCCAACTGAGAAGTCCTCCAGCCCAGGGACATCAGACATCCACACCAATCTGCTGCTGGGGGCTGTGGGCCCGGGCAGAGGCTGTGACTGTCCTTTACCCTCACCAGGGAGATCCAGAAGTGTCTGTCTGCCACGAATACAGAGTATGTAGCAGGGCCCTCCATGGCCAGCATCTGCTTACATACTTCCCAGATGGGCAGCCCACTGCTCCTCCCGGGCAGACCACTTGCCCACTCCTTTCTGAAACTGAGCCAGGCGGTCTGTCTCCCAGGCATTAGCTAAGCCAGAGCTCTGCCCAAGAGCAGCCTGCTGGCCTCCAAGGACAGGGAGAAGAATCTCAGGATCTCCCCTTCCCCTGGCTAAACACTTTCCTCACCCACTATCCGTCTCCCGGGAAGAATTTTAGGCCCTGGCTGCCCTAGTCCTGGCGGAGGGCCTCAGCAGGTGCCTCCCCAAGGTCAGGTCTAGGACTGTGCACCTCAGGGGTGTGACTGGCCCCAGTTTGTCCCAGGATTGGCAGGGGTCACCAAGTCCTCCGGGGCCCCCTGGCGCCCCCTGGCGGAGCTCGCAGGGAGGCCGCTTTCTCTGCCGCGTTCCGCGCGATCCTCCGCCCACTCACCTCGTAGACAGCGAAGCCTATGGTCTCCATGTCGCGGCCGAACCGGCGCTCCCGACGGCGGTGCTTCTGCATGAGGGCGAGCAGGAAGCTGCAGCCTGACTCGCGACCCCCGTAGTCGTCGTGGTCCGGGTCATCCGTCTCCTCCAGCCGGATCTTGAACTGGGGATTCACCCAGAAAGTGGCTGCAGGAGGTAGAGAGGCGGGGATCAGAGGAGAGGCGAGGAGAGCAGCCCCCCATCAAGCCTTCTCTCCTCCATGTGTTCATTCAGCAAATATCGCTGTGTCCTCCATGTGCCAGGTGACATGTGTGCGGTGGGGACACACGAAGTCCCTGCCCTCAGGAGCTCACATTCCAGAAGGAGAGGCAACGCGCGAGCAAGTCGGGTTAGTCAATGGGACAGTTACAAAGTAAGCAAGCTGGAGTTGGGCAGGCAAGGAATCTTCCAGGTGACCTGTGAGCTGAGACCTGAAGGGGAAGGCCTGGGAAGCAGGACAAGGCAGAGAGAGAAAAAAGACCCACAGCGGGGGCTCCAGTGAGCAAAGGGGATCTGGGACGGTGACAGGTCAGTGGCAAGAAGTGTGGATTGAATCAAAGAGCAAAAAGACCCCCTGACAGGTCTGTACTTCGAGGGGCGTGATTGGATTAGGGTTTTAGAAGGTGGCTGCTGTGTGGACAGTGACTTGGAACAGGGGCAGAGAAAGAGGGTCTGAGGGGAGGCCACAGGGCTGAGGGAGACTTGCATTTCTGGCTGTTCAGTAATTCAGCCGCCTGAACAACCCCCCAGACTAGAACAACAAAGTGCGGGACAGAAAATACAAAACCTCCTTTTAAAGGTACCAGTAAGTCCAGCATTCCCTCCCCCCACATACCAAATGAACATTATTCAAAAAGATAGATAATAAGCGAGGGTGTAGAGAAATCAGAACCTCACATACAGCTGGTAGGAACATAAAATGGTACAATACTTTGCATAATAATCTGGCAGTTACTCAAATGGTTAAACATAGAATTACCACATGACCCTGTGATCCCACTCCTAGGTATATGTATGTGTGTGTATGTATACATACATGCATGTATGTGTATATCTCTAAGACTAATGACAACATGTGGTGGTGGTGGTTTAGTCGCTAAGTCATGTCTGACTCTTGCAACCCCATGGACTGTAGCCCGCCAAGCTCCCCTGTCCATGGGATTCTCCAGGCAAGAGTACTGGAGTGGGTTGCCACTTCCTTCTCCAGGGGATCTTCCCGACCCAGGAATCAAACCCAGGTCTCCTACACTGCAGGCAGATTCTTTACTGACTGAGCTATGAGGGAAACCCCTCTACAAAAGCTATGAGGGAAGCCCCTCTACAAAAAGTTCTATAAAATGGGAGGTGCTTTTTGTCTCAGCCAGAAAGTCTTTCCTCAGACTATCTTTTCTAAAGTAGTTTCCACTGTCATCCTAGCAACCTCCAGTTTCTTAGCATCTGTGTGTGTGTGCGAAGTCTCTTCAGTCACCTCCAACTCTTTGCCACGCCATGAACTGTAGCCCACCAGGTTCCTCTGTCCTTGGGGTTCTCCAGGCAGGAATACTGGAGTGGGTTGCCATTTCCTTCTCCAAATGACCACATATGTCCACACAAAAAACTTGTATGTGACTGTTCAAAGTAGCATTATTTTTAACTGACAAATGATAGAAACAATCCAATTTTAACAAAATGTGATATAATGCAATAATAGAATATTATTCAAAAAAGGAATGGAGTACTGACACATACTATATAACAAGGATGAACACTGAAGACATTATGCTAAGTGAAAGAAGCCAATCACAAAGGATCACATGTTGTATGATTCCATTTATATGAAATTATTTTCTGGAACAAATCCATATGAGACAGAAAGTAGATTAGTGGTAGGATAGAAATAAGGGGGAGAAGTGACCTGGGAATAACAGCCAGGGGTGTGTAGGGTTTCTTTGGGGGGGGGTAATGAAAATGTTCTACAATTGATGTGATAATGGGTACACAGCTCTATGAATACAGTGAATGCCACACTGGATTTTACACTGTAAAATGGGTGAAATATATGGTATATGAATTTTATCTCAATAAAGCTGTTTTTAAAAAATGGAAACTGGGAGCCATGAAAGGTAAATAATGCCAAAGGACTTCTACGGACTCATAGAGACCTGGAGTCCTGCCTGGGCACAAGGGCAAGAGAAAAGTCCAACAAGAGATCCCAGCAATAAAACTGGAAGCTCTGTGAGGAATGCCAGCAGTGGAAGTGTGAAAGAAAATAAAACCACTGGGAGGAAGGAAAGCATTCTCTGAGAATTTACAACCATAAGCAGCCTTCTCATGAGCTTGCAGTTTTAATTCATCCTGCCTGTGAGATAAAAAAAAAAAACTTAAGGAGAGAATTCATCTTTAAGAGTCATGGCTTTGGAGTATCCCAGGTGACTGGCAGAAACACTTGAGGAACTTAACTTCATCCAAGAACTCAAAGAACTCCCACAGATATACTTCTAGGTCAAATAAGCCAAGAACCTCACATGACTGAGAACAAGCAGCCACAGTGGACAAACCTCATGATGGCTGAGACTGACCAGCCATGATGGATGAAAAACAACTTGCCAAGACTTCAGATACTGAAATTATCGGACATGGACTATGGAAGACTAAGCTTACTATGTTTGAAGAAATGAATGAGAAGCTGGAATATACAAGCAAAAATGAACAGATTAGAAAAAAGCCATTAACACTTCCAGAAATAAATTTTTCAAATGAAATTAAGGATTTGGTGGAAAGATCAACCAACTGCAAAAAAGAAAATTCAAGTGAATTGAGAATGGATCTAAAGAAACTACGCAGAATGCAATCTAGGGAGATTCAAAGGACCATTTAAGAGATGTTAAGAGATCTAGAGGATTGACTGAGGAGGTCTTGCTTACATTTGATTGGCATTCTCAAAGCAGAAAATAAAAAGACTAGGAAAATGGTATTCTAAAAGAGCATGAAATAAATAAATAAATAAATAAAAGAGCACAGGTAAGCATTTTCTAGAATTGCTGAAAGACATCAATCTTCATATACAGGGAGCTCAACAAATCCAAAACAGAATCCCCAACTCAACACATCATTGTCTAACTGTAGAATATAAAAGAAAAATAATCTTAAAAGAGGAAAGACAAACATTTCAGAAGACATGGTAGATGGGCAGATTCCAGACTCATATAGCAACAGTGGCAGCACAGTCAAGAGTAATAGCATCTCCAGGGAGGTGAAAGTCATGTCGATTCAAGATTCAACATCCAGAGAATCATCAAGAATAAGCACATCATAAAGGCATTTTACACAAGTTCTGAGAAAATTTATTACCAAAGACTCTCACTAAAAGAAATTCAGAAGGATATATTACAGACAGACAGAAAAAGATCTCAGGTAAAAGGTCTGATATGGTGAGCAAAAATACTAATATTATGTAGGTACTCAAACAAACATGGATTATACCAAATAATGGGGATGATGATGGTGCTTACTTTAGGACAGGCAGGAAATGGTTAAGGATTAAAATACTAGCTAAAAAAATAAATAAATAAAATAAATACTAGTTAAAGATAGCATATTGAACAAAGAGAGGATGTGATCCAGCTCAAACATTTTCAGGTCTTTATAGTTTTTACTGTTCAGGTAGAGGGTAAAGATACTGATCAACTAACTTTGGAACTTATTAAGCAAGCTCTTATATCTTCCAAACTCATAGAGGGAAAAACTAGCAGACAGAAAAGAAAAGAACTCACTCTAAAAGAAGGCACAGCAGGAGGGATAAACAGAAAATGCATAGTAAGTCTGCTGAAATACATACAAATATATCAGTAACACTATGAATGTAAATGGGTTAAATTTTCCAATCAAAGGACAATGTTTTCCAAATCTGACTATTAAAAAATAGTCATATGCTATTTATAAGAGATAACCAAAACACTGAACTATAGAAAGATCAGATATCAAAGAGTATAACAAGACATACCACAAAAACAGTAATCAACAGAAAACTGGAATAGCATAGTCACACAGACTGAAACAGACTTCAAAGTAAAAAGAATTATTAAGATGAAGGTAGGCAAAAAAAAAAGTTTAATTCACCAGGAACTTAAAACAATTTTAAACTTGATATACCTAAAATCATAGCTCAATATATGTAAAGAAAAATAATTGACAGAAATAAAGGGAGAAATTGGCAAAGCCAACAGGATGGTGTGAGATTTTTATTATCCCTCTTCCAGTAATTGATCGATTAAGCAGACAAAATAATCAGTAAGTTTGATACAATGAACAATTGTAGAAGATTCCCTCTAACATTCAGAGAATAGTCAAGAGAATAGACCTGTCACGAGAATAGACTCCAGATCAGGTTAAATCCCATCTCAGCCACTTATTAGTGACTTTGGTAAACTATTTAATTTCTCTGTGCCTCACTTTCTTCATCTGTAAAACAGTGATAATACAGTACATCCCTCATAGGGTCAGTGTGAAAGTTAAGTATTTTATATTTTAAATATTTACAGACATGCTCAGCATACAGTACACAACATGAAAGTGTTAGCCAGTCTTTTTAAGAACATGTGAATATTCATGCTGGGTCATTGTACCAGCTTCTGTTTATTTCAAAGTTATGATCTTATTTATATAGATCATATATAAGGAAGTAAAGGAAATTAAATTAAAAATCAACAATAAAATAGGGAACTCCCTGGCAATCCAGTGGTTAGGATGCCACATTTCCACTGCACAGGGCCGGCCAACTGTTGGCTTCATTGATTTTTCTCTATTATTTCTCTATTTCATTTATTTGGCTCTTCTGCTTGCTTTGGGTTTAGTTTGCCCATTTGCTAGTTCCTTAAGGTAGAAAATTAGGTTATTGTTTTGAGTTCTTTTTTAATATAGGTACACAGTGTTTTAACTCCTATCTTATGTGATTTCTCATTTACATTACTATTTCTTTGAGATAAACTCATTCTATGGGGCAGCATTACCTTGACACCAAAGCCAGATGAAAACATCATAAGAAAAGAAAATGACAGACCAATATCACTCATGAATAACAATATAAAAATCCTCAACAAATACTAGCAAACCAAATCCAACAGTTTATTTAAAAGATTACATGCTATGAAATAAGATTTATCCCAAGA